GTGAGCATTTTATAACCCATTTTAGCAGCAGATTCCAAAAGAAAGACAAACTGGAAATTTGAAAAAAGATTCACTCCAGATCATTTTAAAATGCTTAAAACTGTGACTTGCAATGTTTCTGAGTCATTTGGAGGCACTGAGTCAAATGAAAGACAAACTGGAAATTTGAAAAAAGATTCACTGCAGATCATATTCAGAAAATTCCCCCAGTGCTTCCAAATGACTCAGAAACATTGCAAGTCACAGTTTTAAGCATTTTAAAATGATCTGCAGTGAATCTTTTTTCAAATTTCCAGTTTGTCTTTCTTTTGGAATCTGCTGCTGAAATGGGTTATAAAATGCTCACGTTTTGCGCCATTTACAGGTGCCATTTTGACAATTACCGCTGAAGTTGAGCTAAATTTGCCATTTCATTCTTGGTTCCAATGCCAAAAACTAGAGATTAGAGCATACAGAATGAAAGTTTCAAGCTTTTGATTTTTGACCATTTTTGACAGGCACGCGGCTTATCAAAAACGGCAAAATTGGGCCAAATTTCGTTTTCAAGGAAACAGCAAGACAACACTTTTCCTGCATTTCACACACATCCTAAAGCACGGTATTTTGTGCGCATGCGCATCTCATGCGCAAAGCATAAATATATATTGAACATTTATCGAACTTTTGTTATAATTATATAGAGGAAAATTAAATCGCGATAATTATTGTTATCTACTTATTTCCCAGCACTATTACAAAAAGCAATAGCAACATAACATGTAGCACAGGAAAACAGTGGTTAGCACTGTTGTCTTGCAGCACTGAAGCCCTGGGTTCAGATCTGGACCTGGGGTGCTGTCTGTGTGGAATCTGTGTTCTCAATATGTTTGCGTGGGTTTCCACTGGAAGGTATTATGACACCAGTAGATTAATTGGCTTCTGGGAAATCTGACCCTGGTATGTATGTATGTATGTATGCATGTCTTTATATCTGCCCTGCGATGGTCTAGAGTCCTGCCCAGGGTATATCCTATCTTGCACTCATTGCTTGCAAGGATAGGCTCTGGCTCCCGTGCAAATTGGATGAAGTGGTTAGTAAATGGCTTGCTGGAATATCAATAATGAACAGGGGATCCATGCTGAGCCAAGGAAACTCAGAAATGGGAATCTGAAGAGAATTACCAATGAAAGAAAATAAGCAGGAAGGAAACGTTCTGTGAGATGACAGGATGACATTGGGAAGTTTGCAGGAGCCAGCTGGTTGAGAATAGTTAAAACGGTTGCATGGTGGTCTTGCAAGCAGAACAAACAGCACTGAGAGCATAAAGGTTGTTGCTGGTGATGATCATCATTCACTGTTATGCTAAAGTCTTAGATATCTCAGAGGTTGTGACACATATGAGCATCA